TTTTTCCTTTTTTTTTTTTTTTTAGTGATCGAAAGAAAAAAAAAAAGACAAGCGTGCGGCAATCGATTTTAATTAAATCGATAATCCTTACTACGGAATAACGGTATATACACATTATTGATCGATGATTATTTACTGACCACCAATGAGCATCGTGCAAATTGAGAAGAACTTCTCGGAGAATGTATTGGCCGAAACATTTCCAAATCCTACCGATGTCAGGCTACTGCACGTGAAATACAACGCGGTGATGTAACTTTCCGCGTGGGTTACGTTCTCCACCGAAATCTTCAATTTTTCCGCCAACGTGTGAATCCAACCTGGAAAAGTGTGCTCGTGTCAAATCGCGACGGTCGCATCACCACTACCACGACCACCATCACCACGTACACCACGTACGATCGAAACGAAGATTTTTATCGCGAGTATATCGCGATAAGTGTGGGAAAATCGATAAAATTCTTAATTTACCCGAGTCTCTTCAATTATGTCGACCTTCGCTAGATCGCGCACCCTTAAATCTGTGGATAACAGATCGAATCTCTATAGAGAGATAGGTAAGTATTAAGAGGTCATCTGCGAGGCAGCTGATTTAATCGTGGCTGGTGAGGTGGGATCCGCGTTGTATCTCCGGTTTTTAAATCAGTTCATTCGTTCATTCACGCGAAACGAAAAGATTAAACAGATTAAACCGCGATTAAATGGACGCGAATTGTATTTTCTCCTATTGGAAGAGAAATGTTTGCACATGAATATATAACTCTTAATTAATACGGAGCCGCTTCTCAAAAAAAAACAAGTCTCTCTTTGAAACGAGGGATACGTATATTTAAACGTTATATAGGTACGAAATAGGTTACCAGGTGTTTCTTTAGAGGTTCTATTTAGAGGAGAAAAGTAAAGATAAGTCGTTGAGAAACACTTTCCCAGCCATTCGAGTGTCTCCTGTCAAAGCTTGACTTCAAACAAATTTCGCGGGGCTTTGTACATTTTGACGAGAAAGATTGGTTGGTGAAAAACTTACCGAGGTCCCAATCGTTGTCGTTTCTCAATCTCTCTTTTTCAGCGATAACGAACCAGATACAGGCCAACCAATGCGCCACCAGGATGAAGAACAGCATCAACATGGTCAGAATCACGGCGCTGTACTGCGAGTACCTGTCCATCTTTTGAAGCAATCGGGCCAGCCTCAGTAATCTCGTCAATTTCACCAAATGAATATTACCGTGCCCCGATTCCTGACGAGAAGAGAAAAGAAATATAAATTGTTATTACGTTCTGAAATTACGCTCGAGATTGTTCATCGTTGATGGAAATAAACCGTGATTCGTATCGGTAAGTAAATAAACAGAAAATCAAAGGAAAACGTCAATATTGAAAGTTGAATCGATAATAATTATGTGTTCTTGCGTATTATATATTTGTTGCTTTCTAGATTGTACGCATTCATCGCGGAGATATGTCGCTCGAAGCGTCGTTGAAACGTATCCCCTCCCCTGTTTTCAAAGGCAAGGACACGGACACGAGGAATATGCTGTACAATTTAATAATACATCGACCTTTGCTAAACGAACTTCATTCACGTCTTCGCTTTCGGATATTGCACAACTCGTATCTCGTTTTCATTACATTTCTCGTTGGAGCATCGACGTTTCATTGGATTTGAAAGCT